GAGAATCTTTGAGAATTGAAAACAAGATTAAGAAGAGTGAATTTAGAAATAAAGAAGAGAAAAGAAAAGGAATTGATTAGATAGGTTGAGAGAAAATGACAGAAAATAGTGGAAGTTAAGAGAAGTTAACAAATTGTGAAAATGAGAGAAAATTAAGAACACCGGAATGAAAACAAATAATTAAGAAAATGTAATTTAGATTAAAATGAATCTAGATGGAATTGTGGTTAAGAAAGGAGAAGTTAAAATACTTTAAGTTTAGGAGGGAAAATCTAAACATAAGCCTTGGTAAAATTGCTTCATAGACTTTGGATATTGTAATAATTCACAAAATGGTCACTAAAATTACAAATTTCCAATTCTTTCAATCTAGTCATCAAACCAATTAATTTAAATTCCAATAGTCATCAAACCAATTAATTTAAATTCCAATAGTCATCAAACCAATTAATTTAAATTCCAAAATTAAAATCAAATATATAAAACCACTTAAAACCTTTTCAGAACATTTACTAAACAAAAATATAAATTTAATATTTTCTTTCTTTCTTTCTTTTTATCGGAAATCCAAAAATTAACTCAAAACCGACCCGAATTACCATACCCGATTTTAGGATGTTACAACTTCAGCTCAAATCACAAGAACAAAACCATAACCAAGTATCTGATGTGCTCGTCGATGGCCAAAAAGCCCCATCTCACTCGTATGATGGAATCTTAGCCGACAAATCCAGTGAGAATGGGTCTTGCAATGATAACCAGAAAAATGACGAGGAAGATCTGGATCTCTCCGATAGGAGGTCCTGAAATTGCTTGGTTGGAATATCAATATTCAAGCTCTCACAAACAAGGTCTATGCTATCTGAAAACCCTTGAAACGACTCACTCTCATGGATCTGAAAAATGGATATTTCTTAGCAAGATTTCAAGCAAACATCAACTACAACAAGGCCCTAGCAGACGATCCTTGGGTCATTTTCGGTCAATATTTAACTGTCCAGCCGTGGTCGATGCAGTTTAGCACATTGTAAGCCTACCCATCATCAACCACGGCATGGGTTCGCTTTCTAGGTTTGTCTGAATATATGTTTTAAAAGAAAATTCTTACAAATATTGGCAAACTTGTAGGTAAAGTCGTGAAACTGAACCTTCGAAAAGACACCATCAATCCTATAAAATTTGCTAGGATTGCGGTGTATATCAACTTGGAAAAGCCTTTAATCTCACGAGTCGTGGTAGACGACAAAGTTCAACTGATTGAATACGAGAATCTTCCAAACGTTTGCTTCACCTGTGGGAGATTCAATCACCTCAAGGAGGCGTGCACTCAATCGACGACCCCCTCATCAGGTTCTCAAACAGACAACAACATAGCAACGTCAGTCTCGAATGTATTAGTACAAGTGAGTAACCTGCCCAAGCTAAACACGTCCTCTCAATTGGATGCCAACGATTGATCTGATCAAAATCCTTATGGGCTGTGGATGATCGTTGAAAGACGTCATCGCTGGCCACAAACGTAAACAAAAAACTTAAGGAAACAAAAACCAAGGTAACTAAATCCCAAGGTTCCCACTTTACTTCCCTCGCTACCTTCGATCTTGACAAATCTACTCCTACTCAAATAGTGGTAGGAAATTGATAACTCCATAAAAAGGATACTTTTAAGGCCTTTTCACTTAAGTTATTGTTTGTCTGGTTCATCTAGGTCATTTTAAATTCATGTAATTACATTTGTAGTGGTTGTGTTATTTTTACTTTGTTAAGGTGCTATATGATGGGAAAAGTGTGGTTAGATAATGATGTGCAGAAAGCAAGGAGCATATGATAAGTTGAGAAGAATGTTGTGGCATCACATGTTTTTGATACAGACTGAAATGCCTTGCTATTTCTGGTGCAAAAAAAGACAAAGAGATATTCAAAGCACGTATCTGCTGCTGATAACTGTCTGAATGGGATCCGCTTCCACCTATGGAGATAAACTTTACGCACAAAGAATGAATTTGAGGGTATGATGAGTTTTTTTATTATAAAATTACCTAAGAATACCCTTAGATATTTTATTTATAAGGACACCACGAGCCTTAGCTCGTTTTCCACCGTCATCGCAACCTCATGGTGGTTGTTAAAGGCCATCGAAAGGTCGGGTCTTCGTCGAGGAAGGCCCAGTCGGCCTATGACACACCTGAACAATATCGTTGGTCTTGGAAAGTGTCCTCGGTCACTCAAGTTAAGTGTTATCATTGCTGTTGTATGGTGGCTGGCCGATTGGGGTTACGACAAGGCCGACCATGACACCCCGACCCTTGGATGCTGCTGCCAGTACAACCTCAATGCCAGCAGCCTCGTTTAAACGTTCTGATATATTGTTATATTCGACCTAAACCTCTTGTTGGATCCCAAAATCGAATCTTAATTCCTCGTCGTAAATTATTATTTCGTTCTGAGTTGGTTTTGGGATTCAAATCGCAATGAAATTTTTGCAGGAAATTTTGAACCGGGAACTAAGTTACCGCGTCTGCCACTGTTACCCACGAATATCGAACCGAATCGTATAGCTCGTGTCGACTGCACTGATTCAGATCGACCTACTACTCGAGCTGATCGTGATAGAGGTTATTACCGTCGCTAGCTATTTATCGAGGTATGTCTCTATCGATGCTACATATGTTTGATTTATTTGCATGTTTACTTGGTATATGACTTGAAAGCATGCTTGAGTGTGAAATTAGTTGCATTTATTATAATTCAGAAATATCATGTGATGCATGAGGAATTGTCGGAATTGGATTTATGTGATGTTCTTACAAAATATGTGATTGCATGAAATATCGTGAATCAGAATATATACTTCAAAATTAATATATGCCTCTGAAATATTATTACTCGGATCAGATAAAAAATCATATATTTTGTCATTTTGCATATCATGTTGGGACGAATATTGATAGGGGAAGTTCAGTGCATTCACTCGACTAAGTGAATGTCACTTTTTCGGATTCAATAGTCTCAGCCTTTATAGCGGACCTCACTTATATGGTGTATGAGTTGGAATTAGTGTAGTTATGGGGAACCCACTCTTCCGGGTAAGACAGAAATACAAACAGGTGAATGAGCATTGACATATAATTAAATTGTTATTACAATTGATAATTTGACGTATGAGTATTACTGTATGCTTCAGTCTAAGCCTTGTAGCATACTCCCCTTAGTTTCTTCTTTCAGATTCTCAAGCTAGGTTAATTGGTACTTGTAGTTGTGTCTTTATTCAAATTTTATTATTTTTATAAATTTTCTATTTCTTATTTTATTATTATTTTACTTAGATTTTATTTAATATGTTTATATATTTTGGGACTTTGGACATAAATTTTGTTTTGGACTGTGGACTTAAACCTTGGATTCAATATATGTTTTATTTACATTATATTTATAATTCGATTTATTTTGGTTATTTTTAATTATTTGTAATAAATAAATGTGATGGTTAATTATTAAGTATTTTTAATATAACGTTTGGGTTAGTTCTGGAAATTTTAGTTAGGGGGTTACAGGTGTTTTTCGAGATAGCAAGGGAGCGTGGGTTGTAGGTTACTGCCGCTCCATCGGACGCTACTGGCCTCTCTATGTTGAACTTTGGGTTTTGTTCAACGGACTCGAACTTGCTTGGAATCGTGGTTTCAACCGAATTGAAGTCGAGCTTGACAACAAGGTTGTTGTCAATAACCCAAGTCTTCCCCACGAACCCGTTATTGTTCGTAGAGTCCGAAAGCTCTTGCCCGCTAATGGACTATCAAGCTTTCTCATGTGAGCCGTGATTTGAATACGGTGGCTAACGTCGCCGCTCGCTATGATCAGTCTAGTCCTGCACGATATGGTTAAGGAGAAGAGGATCCTACCCACTGCTTGAGCAGTCAATTCTTATATTTGTAACAAAAATTATTATAATACTTATATTCTGTGAACCAAACGTCACGTTATTATTTTCTTTCGAGATCGTTAATGACATTTTGTAAGGATCGTTAATTTTCTAATTTGGTAGTGGAGATAAAGAATCAGTGAAGAGGGGAACAAAGGGGAAAAAATAGAAGTGTTGTTATAGAGGATGGAAAATGTAGATTTTGGTTCTATATATTTGATGAGTTATATTATATAGAATACAGATATATAGATATTACATAATAATATCTGTTCATTTATATTTTTGTTATAATTATTTTTTTTTAGTCTTTATTTATTTGCATTACACCATTGACATGTTAGTTTTAAATAATTTTATCATAAATATGGGACATGTCGTAAATTACTTATATTGATATTTAAATTATTTATTAAATAAATTTGATTTTTAAAAATACTTTATAATTTAGAGGGAAAAGATTAAATATATACATTGACTTTGATTTAGTGTATCATGTATGAAGGCTGACTTAATGTAATTATGCACATAAAACAACGGGTAAATTATGCATTTAGTACCTAAACCATCAATTTTGATCGATTTTAATATTTAAACTTTTAATTTTTTAAAATCATATCTAAAGTTTAATTTTTATTAATTTTGGTACTTAACGTTAAATTTTAAACAGAAATAAAAATTACTAATATAGACTAAAACTGCTAATTTAAGTACTAAACGCATTAAAGTTTTAGCAACGGAATACTAAAATGAAATAAAACTAAATGTTATGTATAAATTAAAAAAAATAAAAATTTAAGTATTAAAACGGACTAAAATTTATAGTTTAAATGCTAAATGCATAGTTTAACCTAAAACAAATTGGGACAATAAAAAAATTATCACAAATTTGAAGTAACGAGTAAGAGAAGATTCTTTAAGCAAGTTGTTCAAAACATTAAATGCATCAAAATCATAGCAACAGGAAGACAAAACAGCTTGGGACAAATAAAGCAACTTCAATCCAATAGTATCTAGAAAATTTATATAAAGCTCTACGTTTCCTTTGAGATTAAAAAAAAAAATCTCCAATGCTGCTAACTTATGATCTGGGTTTCTCTTTCTTCTCTTTGAATAGTGCCAAGAGCGAAACACCGGAGACCTTCACCACTTTGAATCTAACTCCGGGAATATCGCCGACTGCATGACCCTTTCGTCCCAATCCAGCGATCAACACCTCATCCTACACCAATATATATTACTTTCAGGGGGAAAAGCAGCAAAAAATTATTACATGCACGATTTGATTCGAGTGGAACTCACATTCTCTTCAATGTAGTTTAAGCAACCGTCGTTGGGAACGAAAGCGGCAATCTTCTTTCCGTTCTTGATCAATTGAACTCTAGCACACTTTCTGATGGCAGAGTTCGGCTGCTTAGCCTCGATACCTCTATATACATTTTAAACTCATTAGTACACGCATTGAATTACAGTTGTTGAAGGCAAAACCGCAAAATACACAAAAAACCAAAAGAGGATCTAGTCTTACATCTTCTCAAGGACAATGCCTTTGGCATGTGAAGAGCCAGCAAATGGCTTCTTCCATTCATTTCCAAGGTTGGATTTTTTGTAAGCTTTATCCGCCCACCTCTGCCCTCGGCGGTGAGTCCTCTGCTTACGCCCAGCTCCCATACCTCGTGTCTTCCTGAAAGATAAAAGCTTTAATGTCCTCTACAGAATGGTCTCATGAATTTTTGAAATGGATGCAAATACCAACTTTTGTTTAGCCCAATAACTTCTATATCATCCGAGAAAAAATCGATATAATATATGTACTTTAAAACAAGCATCATTTCAGTGTAGTCTTCAATTCTTCCAAATCATTAAACTCTAATCTAAACAAACATTTTCTTCACTTCCATAAGCTAATATACGACTTGTTAGACATGAAAAAAAAGAATCCCTAATTCTTATAGCACATAAATTAAGCCTGGAGAGAACCCAAAAATTCAAAATAAGCATAAAATTTTAGGTTCTCTAAAACCTAAAGCAGTTGCAAATGGAAATAAACTTAAAAGCTACAAAAAGGCATGTATTTTCTCATACCCATCGCCCTAAACAACTAAAGGAGATGAAAAAAATATTAAATGACCAAAACCCACATTTGAAACCCGATACTCATCGTCAAAAACCATTTCTTTCGTTGGAAGAGCAAAACCAGCTTAAACACTGTGAATAAGAAAGGAAAGGAAGCAGTAAAGCTATGGCGATAGAGAAAGGATTTTGAATCGAGCAAGAAAACATATCCCATTTTGGACGACGACAACAACAACAACAAAACCCTATTCCCATATGCAATGGGGGTAAGGGGAGGTATGGTAGTAGGCTGCCTCCAATACCAGGTTGAGAGCAGCTTCCGTGGAAGACCTCCAGCAGTTAGAAAAATTAAAAGTAAAGATAGAAATGCCAATAAATAAATAGTTGAACAGTCTTTATATGCAGTCTACATATGTGCGTCTAAAATGTGAAGTAATCCCTATAAATAAATCCCTGCATAAAAATCTCTGCATATAGACAGAAACGTAAGACCCGACTAATATTTAAAAGGAGCAAAACTTGAAGTAAAGGATACACAAAATTCAACGATAGAAAGCAACGACAAGGAATAAAGTCAAATGTGTTAAAACCTAAACTAAAGTAATACTACTCCGCTACCGTAGTTCTAAGCCTTCATAAATTCCAATGACAGAAACGTATAAAAAGAAGAAGTCATGGAAATTACTACAAATGCATAAAAAGAAGACAGAGATGATATACCCTATGGATGTGATCTGTACTACTCAGTTACCCTGATCTTAAGTCTTCATACCCCATTTTGGACGAGCAAGATTATTCTGATTGATCTCAAAAAAAAAATCATTCTGATTGGAAAGAGGGCTTTGAAAGAACTGATTGCCGAGACTAAAACGACAGACCCGCTGCTGGCTTTTTAACCAATAGGCTCAAGCCCTAGAATTTATAATATAGCGATAAAAATCTTAATATGACATCAAATTCTAAGGGGCAAGTATTGGGCCCATAATGGATTATATTTTTAAATAGGCTTAATATAAACGTTAGTGTCAAAATTATATCGTTTTTATTTAGGTGTTTAATTTTTTTTTGTCAATTCATGTGTTTAATATTTTCAATGTTATTCTTTTTAAGTGTTTTGATCGTAATAATGTTAAATTATGTCGTTAAGTGACAAATGTCACGCTCAGATAATATTAATTTTTTAGTTTTTAAAAATATAAAATTTTAAAATTTTATGAAGACAACATGTGTCATTTCGGCAGAATTTAACGGCGATAACAGTTCAAACACCTAAAAATATAACACCAGAAACGTTAGACACCTGGAATGATTGAAAAATAGTTTCGGCACCTAAATGAAAAAGTGTAAAGTTGGACACTTATTTTTATATTAAGCCTTTTAAATATGCTTAAAATTAAAAAAAAATCAAATTATTCCTTATTCTATTCGTTGATTAAACTTTTTTTAATAATATAGGTACTTAACAATCGACGTTATCGTTTTAAGTTTTTGATTCGTTAAGACCATTATAACCATTAAAAAAATCTATTATCTAGCATGTGTTACGTTTATAATATTTTTAAAAATTTATTTAAATTTAAATTTAATTTTTAAAAATCTCTATCTTTTCTAAAATCTAAAAGAATTAAAACTTTAAAATAAAATAATTTTAAACCTCTTCACTCATGTCGATCGACATCGTTGTCATCGGTGAATAAGGTATCGGCCAAACCTCCAATGTGACATGTCGACAATAGTCACCCATTGTTGTAATTAAGATTTTTACGTGCGTATTTCGTTTTCCAATGAGATTAGGGGGATTCTCCCTGCATCTAACTTGTGCTCAACGAAAGAGATGGTAGGAAAATAAAATTAGGGTTATGGATCTAACATATTTTTTTTCTAATTTTAGTGAAATTAGTTTTTTATATATAATAATATTTTTATTTTTTAAGATATTGTTTTTAAAAAATAAATATAAATATAGCACATATTAGATAACAAATTTTTATAACAGTCTTTATGATGTAAACACCTTGAATAGTCATTAAAAAATATTAAACACTTTATTGAATTGAACAAAGAAAATAAACACTTAAATGGAAAAGAAGTATATTTTAGATAACTTTTTATTGGGTAAAGTACATAAATGGTCCCTCAACTATAGGAAATTGCTTTATTGAATCCATCCGACTATTAAAAGTTATAAAATGATCTCTTAACTATAAAATGTTGCTTTGTTGAGTTCTTTGACAGTTAAAAGTTATAAGATGGTCACTTGATTATTCATATGTTCCGAACTCGTTATTTTCTGTTAAAATATTAACGACAGTCTGAGTTGGATGTTAATCTGTTGTCCGAGATATGATAATCGTTTTAGATTTTAGGATCATATTTTATCATATCTCATACAGTAGATTAGCATCTAACTCAAACTTTTTTTCTCTTGTGAAAACATGTTTTTAACAATTCTTCAACACATAGAGAAGTTGTTAAGGACGAATTGGATGGTTGATCTGAAACACATACCAAGAGAGGCCAATTGCGTTGTTGATCTCGTCGCTAAACAGATGTGGAAAAGTCAGTAGGACATTGTATTTCTGCAAAATCCCTCAAAAGAAGCAAAGGAGTTGTTATTAGCTGATATAACGAACAACTAGACTGCCCTCATACATATGTACTCAACCCTAAAAAAAACCACCATCAATTAAAAAAATTAATTGAATTTACCAAATATTGAAAGAAAACCCAACAATCTTTGAAAACGTTGAGCTATCTTTATCTTACACATGTATGGTTGTTAGAAACCATATCATAAAGAAGCCCCTAAATTTGCAGAAGAAAATGTCATTTTGCATATCATTTAAGAACAAACTTCTTGTTGCTACTCAGTTTTAATTATGTTGTTGACGTTGGTTCTCTCGATTCAATTTGTGGTAGGAGATGTAATATAACCAAAGGTAAGAACAACTTCCTTTTGAAGCGACAAATATTATGTTGGAAGAAACCTCCAAAAAGGGACTTGTGAAAAACATGGATGATCATTTTGTTCTAACGTTTTTCCTGCAACACAAGGATTGTAACATATTACCAAACTATCAAGTATTGTAAGATACACTTTTGATAGTAAGACAACTCTACAAACCAATGTTCTATAATTAGAGCATCATTTTGTAACTTTTCATAATTAAGGGATTTAATAACGTCCTAGAGATCATTCGTATACTTTACTCAAAATAAATTAAATATTTTAATTTATTAAAAAACTTAATAAATAAGTATCTTATATGAGACATACACAAGAAAAAAAATTAAAAACACATTTCTTAACCATCTTTCTTTAGAAAAATCAAGACTATACATTTGAATATCAAATTGATCTTAAATTTTGAGTAATACAAATCGGTGACGCATTTTTTTAGCCGTATATTAAGGCTGCCGTACGTGATCCTTTCCCCTAGAAAAGGCATATGAATCCGAAGCCATTCAAATTAAACATGTTGAATATGCACATTCCGAGATTTAGAACTTGAGAATCGAGCTGACCGAAACTCTAGCCTTGGTTGAAAAACTCAAGTCTGAGATCACTAATTGCAGAGAATCTGAAACCCTAGCCATTGAAGTTATTAACAAAACCAAAATGCAACTAGAAGAAGCAACCAAAACCGTAGACGTGCTCCGGTCCGATGCCTCCAAAGGGACCGAAGCTTACAACGAATTGTCACTCGAGTTGGATGAGTCAAAATCTAGAGTTAAGTCGTTGGAGGGACTACTAAGCAAGCTTAAATTCGCAAAACTCGAAGCCGGTCAATTGAGATCAGCATTGAATGCATCTGAGATAAGGTATCAAGAAGAATATATTCGAACCACATTCCAAATCAAAAGCGCTTACGAACAAGTGGAATGTATACGAACACAATCATGCTAGAGGGAGTCGAAACTCGAAGCCGAATTAAAGAAAACGAAAGCTGAAGTCTAAGAATCGAGAGCCAACTTAATGGATATGAAGACTGAACTGTTGAGTATTTTTGAAAGAATGTAATTCCGTTCCATTCTCATTACCACAGGGGTTCAATATATACACAGTCATTAGTAGATACAATCCTAACAATTAGGCTATAATTTAGGAATTAGGCTATAATTTAGGCAACTAAATATACAATAGTAAATACAAAATATTTGGAGAAAATTTTGTAGTCTATCACTCCCTCGCAGTTGAAACGGGAGGATCTCGAACGTTAAGACTGGTCCGGAAATCGTCAAACAATATAAGGGGCAACCCCTTAGTGAAAATATCCGCAATCTGGTACCTAGACGACACATGACGAAAACGAACCTCACCCCGCGTAACTTTTTCTCGAACAAAATGAATATCCATTTCAATGTGCTTCGTAAGCTGGTATTGAATGGGATTTCCAGAAAGATAGATAGCACTCACATTGTCGCAGTAAACCATTGTTGATTTACGGATGGGACAGTTGAGTTCAAGAAGAAGATTACGAAGCTAACAAGACTCCGAGACAACATTGGCAACTCCCCTGTATTCTGCCTCGGCACTTGATCGGGAAAGCGTAGGCTGTCGTTTGGACAACCATGAGATCAAATTATCACCCAAAAAAACACAATACCCGGAGATG